CTGGGGAGAGAGAGAGAGAGAGAGAGGGTGAGAGAGGGCTAGAGGAAGAGAGAGAGAGAGAGAGAGAGAGAGAGAGAGCTGGAGAAAGAGAGAGAGAATGGGGGGGTAGGGTAAGAGAGGGCTGGAGAGAGGGGGAGAGAGGGGGGAAGAGGGGGAGAGGGAGAGAGAGGGACGGAGGGAGGGTGGGTGGGAAGGAGAGAAAGAGGGTAGGTGGGAGAGAGAGAGAGAGAGAGAGGGTGAGAGAGGGCTGGAGAGAGGGGGAGAGAGGGTGAGAGAGAGCTGGAGAGAGGGGAGAGAGGGTGAGAGGAGGGACGGAGGGAGGGTGGGGGGGGGAAGGAGAGAAAGAGGGTAAGTGGGAGAGACAGAGAGAGAGAGAATGGGGGAGAGAGAGCTGGAGAAAGAGAGAGAGAATGGGGGAGAGAGGGCCTGGAGAAAGAGAGAGAGAGGGTGAGAGAAGGGCTGGAGAGGGAGAGAGAGCTGGAGAGAGAGCGAGAGTGGGGGGAGAGAGAGGGGACGGAGAGAGGGTGGGGGGGAAGGAGAGAAGAGGGTAGGTGGGAGAGAGAGGGGGAGTGGGAAAGAATGGAAGGAGAGAGAGGAGGGAGGGAGAGAGAGAGAGAGAGACGGAGAGGGGGGAGACGGAGGGAGGGTGGGTAGGAAGGAGAGAGGATGGGTGGGAGAGTGGGAAGAAGGGAAGGAAGAGTGAAGGTGGGAGGGAAGGAGAGAGGAGGAGGGAGGGAGAGAGAGATAGAGAGAGAGCGAGAGAGAGGGATGGAGAGAGGGAGGGTGGGAAGGAGGGAGGATGGTTGGGAGAGAGAGAAAAGAGAAGAGAGAAAGATGGACGGAGGGAGGGTGAGTGAGGGTTGAAGGGAAGGAGAGAGAAGGGAGGGAGGGAGAGAAGGAGGGTAAGATAGAGACTGGAGAGAGAGGGGGGGAGGAGGGGGGGGGAAAGAGGAGAGGGGGGAAGGAGAGAGAGAGGTTGGGTGGGAGAGTGGGAAGAAGGGCAGGAAGGGTGAGGGTGGGAGGGGGAGCGAGAGAGGGTGAAAGAGAGCTGGAGAGAGAGAAGGGGGGAGGAAGGATAGTGGGCAAGAGAGAGAGAGAGTGGGTGGGTGGGGAGAGGGAAGGTGGAAGAGGGAAGGAGAGAAGAGGGAGATAGAGAGAGAGAGCTGGGAAGGAGAGAAAAGATGAAAGGAGGGTGGGAAGGAAGAGCGTGGGTGGGGGAGAGAGGGAAGGAGGGAAGGAGGATAAAGGTAGGAGGGGGATGGACGGTGGGGGGAGGGGGGGAGAGGGAGAAGAGAAGAGAAGAAGAGAGAGAAGAGAAAAAGAGAAAGACAGACAAGAGAGAGAGAGAGAGAGAGAGAGAGAGAGAGAGAGAGAGAGAGGAGAGAGAGAGAGAGAGAGAGAGAGAGAGAGAGAGAGAGAGAGAGAGAGAGAGAGAAGAGAGAAAGAGAGAAAGAGGAGAGAGAGAGAGAGAATACACAAAGACAGAACAGACAAAAACAGACAGAGCAATCAATCTTATATATAAAGCAGAAAACACATAAATACACATCACTCAGTTGTGAGAGAAACATCATCTTCTTTAAATAAAGAAAAATAAAAGGAAGAAACACAATTAGGAAGCGAAAATATTATCAAAACCATATTAGGCAGAAAGGAAGAGGAAGCAGCAAAAGAGAAAGAACAAAAAAGAGCGAAAAACAGATAATATAGGATAATATCAATAATAGTACCAATAATATCGATAGTATACGGAATTGATAATAAAAATGAAAATTTATTGATAATAAATGGTGATAATAACGATATTGATAAATAATAATAACAATAATAATGAGGAAAATAGTGATACCCATAATAACAATAATGATAGCAACAATAATAATGATAGTAAAGGATAAATAATAATAATAAATAGTTATGATGATAATAATAAACATAATAGTAATATAATAATAATAATAAATAATAATAATAAATAATAATGAGGAAAATAGTGATACCAATATAACAAAATAATGATAGCAACAATAAATAATGATAGTAAGGATAATAATAATAATAATAGTTATGATGTAATAATAACAATATAGAATATAATAATAATAATAATAATAATATATAATAATAATAATAATAATAATAATAATATAATAATAATAAATAATAATAATAATTATAATGATAATAATAATAAGAAGAAGAATAATGATAAATATAATAAAAAAATAATAATAGAATAAGAATAATGGATAATAATAATAAATAATAATATAATAATAATAATAATAATAATAATATAATAATAATAATAATAATAATAATAATAATAATAATAATAATAATAATGATAATAGAAATAATAATAAATAATAATAATAAATAATAATAATAATAATAATAATAATAATAATAATAATGATAAGAAATAATAATAATAATAATAATAATAATAATAATAATAATAATAATAATTATAATAATATAATAATGATAATAAATAATAATAATAATAATAAACAGTAATAATAATAATAATAATAATGATAATAATAATAATATAATAATCATAATAATAACAATAATATAATGATAGCAATAATATAAATAATAATAATAATAATAAATAATAACATAATATAATAATAATAAATAATTAATAATAATAATAATAATATAATAATATAATAATAATAATGAATAATAACAATATCATAATATAATATAATAATAATAATAAACAAATAATATAATTATAATAACAATAATCATAATGAAATAATACAATATCATAATAATAATAATAATAATAATAATAATATAACAATAACAATAGCAATAATAAACAAAAATAATAATAACAACAACAATAACAATATAATAAATAATAATAATAATAATAATGATAAATATATAATAGGGGGGGGGGGCGAAGGGCGCAGGCGAGGAAATGGGCGTGGGACCTCTTATTGTCTTTATTACTGGATATTTTTCGTTTTTTTCTCTTCTACTTCTTTTTTCCTTCTTGGCATTCTTTTTTTCTTCTTTTTTTTTTCTTCTTCTTTTGTTTTTTCTTCTTCTTTTTCTCTTGTTCTTCTTCGTCTTCTCCTTTCCCCTTTCCTTTTTTTTCCTTTCTTTCTGCCTTTTTTCTTCTCCTTCATATCATCGATATATAACGTCAACAGCATTATTATAGTATTTATTACATTATGAAATAGTATAATCATTTATTTCTTCCATCATTCACCATCTTTCTCTCTCTCTCTCATTCTCTTTCTTTCCCTGTCTCTCATTCTCTCTTCTTTCTCTCTCTCTCTCTCTCTCTTCTCTCTCTCTCTCTCTCTCTCTCTTTCTCTCCTCTCTCTCTTCTTTTCTCTCTCTCTCTCTCTCTCTCTCTCTCTCCCTCTCTCTCTCTCTCTCTCTCTCTCTCTCTCTCTCTCGTCTCTCTCTCTCTCTTCTCTCTCTCTCTCTATAATATATATATATATATATATATATATATATATATATATATATATTTCTCCCTCTCCGTCCTTCGGAATCTAAATCCACGTGACTAAAACATCCAATCACAAAGCACCAAATAATAAAGAAAATAAAAGAGAGAGAGAAAAAAAGAGAAGACAGAAAACAAAAACAAAACAACAGCTAACAAGCCAACAGAGAGCGAGATGCCAAACCATTGCTCGCAAAAATACTTTCATTTCCTCGCAATCTTCGCGCATTAGACCGACTCAGAACTGCGCCTAATGAACTAGGTGCGAAATGGCAAAGACTTATTTTCAAACTATAAGGATTTTTTTCTTTTTTTAACGATCAAAAAAGTTCAAGAAGCTGTTCTCTGTGGATAATGATTATGGAAATGTTCGCGCGAGAGATAATTTTTTTTTTATTACTGATACTATTATAGTAATATTGATAATAATAATAATGACAGTTATGATAATGATGAAAAAGATCATGATAATGGTGAAGATGATAACATGTATGTATATACATACACATATATGTATCTGTGAGTGTATGTGTGTAGGGCCACTGATGCAATAAATTCATTCGCACTTGAAGAATTACATTAAAATCACCTTTTCTCAAGTAAACTAGAAACGTCCGTATTTCCTCACATCGCAATGCTAATGAATCCTTTAAAAAGAATCCTGGACCGGATTATATAATCTGATTCATCACCGAAATCTGACGACATCTAAGTTGGCTTAAGACGCACCTTTAGCGAAGATTTCATAAAAATCTGTTCACACACGTATACAAGAGTAAGTGCGTGTGTAAATGCAAGCACAAATAACGTGTAAAAAAAGAAAAAAAAAGCCACAATAAAAAATGTAAATATATCATAACATTCTGAAATCGAGTTCCTTTACGGATGAATAATTTAATAATAATCGAAGACGATACATGGAGAGTGAGATTTACAGAGATCACCTTCGCCCGGGCCTTTGACCTTTACCTCCTTGGCTAAGATTACACAGTGGCAGAGAAACGGAGCGAACAACAGCTAACTCAGGTCACAGGAGGAGGGTCAAGGTCAAAGAGATTGGGGAAGACTTTGCTGACTAACGACGAAGTAAGGTCACCCAAGAAGCCCCGTTGACCAACACGAGCGTCATAGATCATTATCACCGATACTACTGCTGCTACAAGCGATAATGAGCATGATGATAATTATAATGATATTCATAATGATTATAATAACAATGATGATATCAGTGATGATAATAATGATGATCTCAGTAATAGTAATGATACTTATATCAATAAGTAATCAACAAGTAAGAATGATGATAATTGCTATAATGACACTGTTAATGATGATAATAATGATATGATAATGACGATAATAATGATAATGATTATAATTTTGCAGATAATTATAGTCACGATAAGGCGACGAAGAAGAAGAAGAAAAAAGGAAAGGACGAGAAGAAGATGAAACAAAAGAAAAAGAAGAAGAAAAATGAAATATGGATAAAAAGAGGTCAGAAAAG